TAATTAACCTCTTATTTTCCACTATCAAATATTTACATTCATATAGACTTTGTGCTTCCTTCTTATAATGGATAACAACAAAGTCTGGTATAAATATCTTAGGTATCTCTACATCATCCCTATTGGTTATACTATATTGTAAGGATAGTTGGGGATTAACCAATAATGGTGGTTGTAAAAGTGATACTAGTCTAACATTCCATGGTGCATACCAAAAGCATTCTAAGTTGTCAGGGTTAATAGAAGCACTTTCAGCAGCATTCACAGATATCTTTAAGATTTGCTCCATTAGACTTACTTATCTAATTAATATCCAGAAATTTTCAATATTCTCTATTAAATTGATTGTAACTTTTAAAATTTACAGTCAAATGCTAATACATTTAGAAACAACAAACAAAGAAATAAGAAAGTAGTCCCTTCCACCAACCAGAAGATATTAAAACTTCTTCAACTCTTTCTTCATATTCATCTAATTTTTTTCTGAAAGGTATAAACACCTCAAAACTGATTTTATCTATGAATGCCATGTTTGGATGAGTAAATACAGCATTATACATTTGTATTCTATTGTCATATGATCTCAATGGGATTGGTTCAAGGCCTATAAACTTGTAATACCCCATCATTTCAGAGAGAAATGGAAAATCAACCTTATCCTGAAATTTGTATGGAGGACTTAGTTCCAGATCATCATAGTTAATATAATATGTGTATTTCTTAGGACCAACAATTGGCATTTGAAAGTGTTGTGGAACAAAAGGGTTTGGTTCCCTAGTTCTTGTAATAGTTACTGCTTTGTCCCTAACAAAGCAGTTATAAGCAGTGTGTTGAATAAGGAGTGATGTTGAACAAGTAGACATATTGATTTGTAAAGATTGTAAGAGTGATATGTGCTTATATCCTATCTAAGATAGTTGGAGTTGGAATAATTCATTTTTCATTATTACACCTATGTATATAGTAGAATAACAATAACCTCAATTATCTCTCTTAAATTGAATATTTCCAAATTGGCTAGTATTGTATACTTACCATACCAATGTCTCCTCTAAATGAGGAGTTTAATAAGTTAATGGACCAACAATGGAAGTTCCTTTATAAGGAATGGCCTCAGATCAAGCCATCCAAGTATCATAGGTCTGATATCAAACCTATTGATAAAATTAGTCACATTAAGGATATTGTTCTTCAGAGACTTGGTATTATTCCAGTCTTTTTCTTCCTTGTTGTCGTCTTTGCCACCCAAGATTATCCTGGACCCTATAGAAATGTGGAGAAAGGACTTTTAATACTATATCAACTACTTCAAGGCTGCTCTATAAATGATATGGGAAACTTTATACCTAGAAGTAGTTATTATGATATGTTTAGAAAATTCTATGAAAAACAAGGTAATGATCTTGATAAAAGGATCTCAACTATGCTCATTTCTATGTTCTCAACTATTGATATACGCATTCATTCTGCACAGAAAAATCCTCCATTGTTTAGACATATAACATTAATGATAGATGGTCATGATACTAGAGCAAGTGTTATTGGTGAGAAGAGTGAAGATATGTATTCATATAAACTCAAGAAATCTGGACTTCGGACACAAGTTTGTATTGATATAAATGGCATGGTTCTATTCACATCAAAGTCAGCACCCTGTAAAGATAATTCAGATGGAGTCATGTTTGTAAAGATGAAATTGGAAAAGTATATAGACAAACTAGATTGTATTGCTTTAGATGGGGGATATCCCTTGCACCTTACAAAGATAACAAGTAATACAGAATTAGATATGATTAACTTCTGTATACCTATACGTAAATCAAAAGGTATAGAATTGTCAAAGGAAGAGAGTACCTTTAACAAAATGTTTGGTAGTTTCAGGTCTAAGATTGAAGCTACTTTTGGAGAGTTGGCTACCACATTTAAGAAGCTCAGTAATGAAGGAGGTGTTAGAGTTTCTGATGATGAGGTATTCACAACCCAGTTAAAGCTTGGATGTCTCTTATTAAATGTGAAGAAGTTTGTAATTTTAGGTGGTATTCAACCTCAACCTCATCACTCTTCATGGTTATCTTCAGAGTTTGACTACTGGAAAGATGAAAATATTGAAACATATGAAAATCTCCCATCATTGACAGATAGTAGAAGTAATGCTCAGGAGATGCTCAAGCTTCAAAGAAATTTTCTGAGTATGGAGTTAGGTGATGATGAAGATATGGATGGGACAGATGAGGCATATGAAATTGAGGAAATAATAAACCATAGAGGAAAAGGAAAGTTCAGAGAGTACCTTGTAAAATGGAAGGGATATGAAGATGTAACTTGGCAAGGAGTGAGGAGTTTTGATACCACAGAGTGTATAGATGAATACTGGAAAAAGAAAGGAGAAGAAATTTGATAAACTTCCAGTAGGAGGATATCTGAAAACTATTAAGTATACCAAATTCTAATATACTCTAAAGGTCATTTAAACATCTGAGATGTGATTCAAACATAATTTGGTTTTTAAAACTTTCAAAAAGTTTTAAACTCTCTCATACATTACAAACTAAAGAATCTTTCCGGACACAAGTAGACAATAAAAAGAATTAGTAGTTTGAAACACTAATACTTTTAAAAAATAGATACCTTTAGATAGTCCATTTCATGCATATGTATATTATTGGCACCTCTAAATACATATGTATTACTTCGGAATGGATCTGTTAATCTGAACAGATTTCTACTTGATTCAACATACCCAGAATATATAGGGGGTTTTACTTAATAAAGACAGCTGTGATATGAAAAATTTCCAATAATATTTTACATATTTTACATGGAAATAACTACATTTCAACTTTTAAAAAACAAAGTACTAATAAAAGTATTAGTAGGCATCTGTAAAAGGAAGGAAATTATATACAATGGAATTTGTTAAATAACTATGGGTTGTATAAGATGTAATATGGAGAACTATTTCTGATGGTTATTTTTTGATGATATAATTGTTTCAGAATAGATATCACTATTTAAAGATGGAGTTTTGTAAAAATAAGACTTTTATTAGTAAATATTTGAGATTATAGTAATTATAAACACCCTCCAATACTGAACAACAACACCGGTGTAACGTTCTACATTTGAGTCTGCTATTTTTTTCCGCATTTCAGACATTTGTCATACTGCACCTTTTGTTGTACCAGTATTTACAATGACAAAACGAAAAATTCATATAGGCTAAGTCGATATATCTTGGGGTCCGAATTTTGAACTTTTACATAGTTATGCATATGGATGTTTGGTACTTGATGGCTAGTTCCGTATTTCATAGGCTTCGAAAAAGATATATATATCTGGTTTCTGGTTCAATAGGAACTCTTGGTAGGAAGAAGGAGCCCCGTAATTTAATGGGGTAAAAATATTGCCTCAGGGGGGAGTCGAACCCACAACCTTAAGACTCTTACCCGGTCAGAGGGACTGTAAGAACCTTACGCTCTACCGTTGAGCTACCAAGGCCCTATTTACAATACCCACATTCTAATAGATACTGAACAATGACACCACCGTTTGTAAGGTATCCGGCTATTTACTCTCTCAAATAATTAACAAACGTTGACACGGCAAGGGATTCAAGAAATAAACAAATAAAGGTCCAGTAATTTAAATACTGATAGATTAATTAGCTGCGCTATTAAGCTTAAACAACTAAAGTCAATATTTGTTTGGTCTCTTGACAAATTCAGATGAACTTGTAGTGACGTGCTCTACGAAAGTTAAGTTCTCTTTGAGAATGAAGGTTCGGGAGCTGAATGTATGCGCAATAAGTTGGCGGAAACTTGTCGCAAGCCTTCTATTTCTTGTAGCCTTTTAGTTTACTATTTATAAAGATTTAACAAGCTGTTAAATAATTTATAAATAGAGAGATTGTCCGAGAGTCGAATATCCAAGCGTTTGTTTAAAGATCGATTAACTGTGCTGTTAAAATGGGCTCTTGAATAACCTACACGGGCAGGGATTTCAGTAATGAGAATTTAGATTTACTTAAGTGATTAGTAAGCCTAAAGGTTTTCCGGGAAGCTGAGGGAACTTAGATGAATTAGCTAAGTTCAAGAGTTGCTGAGAAAGAGTTCAAAATGCTGCAAGTGTAGGTGCTTGCAGTTAGTAAATCAGACTAAGGCTATTTTTGTCCTTAGGATGATTAGATAAGCTTATGAGCTGGTGCTGTTGATAGTAGTAAAGTAGTTGTTCTTTATTCAGTGATTTAGGCCTCCTTTTATACATGTAGAGATTTTTGCTTAATAATAGCTAAATAACTAATTAGGAAATTATTGGAAGCTTCTAAAAGTTTCTATAATTCCGCTATGATGTCATAGCTATCACCCGACTCGAAGATCCGAACCGAAGATCCGAACCGGTCGAGTCAGAGAATAAACCCGAGATGGCCGAGGGTGGAAGCAAAATAAGCCGTGGCGCCGAAACGGAAATAAACGCGGCCGGGCGGCTGCGAAAACTACTCGCGACGATTTGTAAACACGTCGTGACGTCGTCGTCACGTGATGTCACGTGATCGCGCGATAATAATGCGCATATATGTACTAATATAATATAATAAAAACCCGGTCTCTCGAAATCAGATAACCCGGCTTTATTATACTTATATTTCGACCGCTCTAGGCTTCGATTACATAATATGATGTCATTCGAAGCTTTGAGTATTCGAAGTTAAAAGGAAAATAGCCTAATTCTTGAATTAATAAATAAAATAAAATAGAATAAAATAAATTGAAATAAATTCTGGAAAATTAAGGGAAAATTCGTGAATATATACTAGATACATCACACCGTTGTAACGTTCTGGATTTGAATCTGTTATTTTTTCCCTCATTCCAGACTTATTTGTCATATTACACCTTCCATAATTCTTAAACATATTTCATACGGTTGGAAAAAGATATATATATCTAGTTCAATGGGAACTCTTGTTAAGAAGGAGCCCGTGATTTAACGGGAAAAAATATTGCCTCAGGCAGGAGTCGAACCCACAGCCTTCAGAGTCTTACCCGGTCAGAGGGACTGTAAGAATCTTATGCTCTATCGTTGAGCTACCGAGGCCTTATTTACAATACCTACATTCTAATAGATACTAAACAACGACACGCCATTATAACGTTCTGGATTTGAATCATTCCAGACTTATTTGTCATACTACACCTTAATTTGTTATACAGTAACAGTGTAATCCCGTCGTCAATTGGGATCACTGGCGGTCACACAAGTTGACAGGACCACGGTGTATTGTCCAGAGCAGAACAAGATACAGGCAAGTGCAGTGTACGGTAAGATCTAAGGTCCTGAAAACTTCCTGGCTACTTATACCGTACAACACGGTGATTATGTAATCACGTAAAACTAAAGGGTCCGTGCATAAGACTGGGGGCACCAGGATTACAAACAGAAGGATAAATTCATAAGGCTAAGTCAATACATCTTGGGGTGCAGATTCAGTCGTTGCCAAGTTGAACATGCAGTGTTTTACAGATACAATGACGAAGATACGCTGTGTTGAAATATTAGCATAGAGACCAATCGTGTAGCCTCTCAGTGAAGGTTTATCACTCACTGAGAGGTATGCAATTTTCCCTAGTTCTACATTAATAGTTTACTTACTATTAATTCAGTATTATTTAGGTAGATAACAATAGATGTTATAGTGAAGGTTTATCACTCACTGAGAGTATTATTTAGAACTGCGCAAATAATCTCAACACGCTGATCGCCACAGTGGATGTCAATGATATGACGATAGCCGGAAGCTCCACGGCCAGTCATATTGCAATTTAACGATCAATTTCTTGTGGAATTCAAAATTAAGGACCTAGGAGAGTTTAAATGACTCTTAGGGATCGAGTTCGAACGGGATTGCACCCAGAACTATTTATTTTCACAGTGTTCGTACATTAACAAGATATTAGCGCATTTTGGCCTACCGGCCGCAAAACCGCTATCTACGCCGCTCGACCCTCACCAGCATCTTTCCACATCTCACTCACCTATTACATCCTGCTAGTATGAAGATCTGAAAAACATACCGTATCACGGGGCCATAGGTTCACTCATGTATCAGTGCTTGTGTAAGGCTGTGGTATCAGCCTCACTCGGTCGGTAACAGACAGGACAAAAGTATCGTGTTGTGAGTGATTTTCTACTACAAAACAGATGTGACGTCTAACTAATATATATAAAATAGAGAACCCTCAAGTATTCGCGACAAGGGGAATTCTGGACAAGCAGGACCGAGAGTCTAGATCGTGGTAGGGAAGGGGAAGGAAAGAGAAAAGAAAAAGGGTTCGAATCTTTATTGAGTCTGATCTCGGGTTGGGCTCGATCAGGGGAACCATAGGAGTGCGGTCAGTGACCAGGGGGTCAGGATGCGGCTCTGTATGTGTGGTAAGGCGGCCAGGATTACACCCCTCCCCCCTCTAAAAACTTCCGTAGCTTAAATTTCTAACCCATTCTCATTCTCCCAGACGTCTAAGGCCTCTGTGTCCTCAAGAGCCCTGCGGGGGAGCCACTCATCGTGATCCTTTCCAAAACCTACCCATCGCACAAGGTATTGAGCCCCGCGGCCACGGCGGCGTGCATCTACAATCCTGTCGATAAGGGTCTCTGCAGAGCCGTCTTCAGTGACGACCATGCCTGGGCGAATGAGTTCCCGGTACTCGGAAAAGCACTAGAATGAAGTTACATTTCACTTCGGGCTATCACCCAGAAGGCGATGGACAAACCGAATGCATGAATCAAACCTTGGAGCAATACATCCGTGTCTATTGCAACTATCAACAAGACAATTGGAAATCACTACTACCGCTGGCCGAATTCGCATACAACAACGCACCGAATGCCACTACTGGCATTTCGCCTTTCTTCGCAAATAAAGGCTACAACCCCAACATCACAATCCACCCGGAATGCGATCTCGCATCCGCCATGCTCAAGACTTTGTTACAAACCTCGACGAGCTACATCAAGAACTTCGTAAAACTATCGCAATGGCTCAAGAACGATACCAACGGTCTGCGGATAAAAACCGACTTCCACCTCCTGATTTCAAGATCGGAGACCGAGTATTCGTTAAAGCCGAGTTTTTCTGAACTACTAGACCTTCTAAGAAGCTCTCTGAAAATATTTAGGTCCTTTTGAAGTTATAGCACAAGCCGGCACGCTTTCATGGACGCTTCGGCTCCCCGACAACATGCGTGCAGTGCACCCGGTATTTCATGTATCTATGTTAGAACCTTGTGTTCCTAACAATATACCGGATCGCACACAACCACCACCTCCACCCGTGATTATTGATGGGGAACCCGAATTCGAGATATCAGAAATCCTAGACTCAAAAATCGACAATCGCCGACGCTCATGCAAATTACTTTATTTGGTCAAATGGGCTGGCTATGAAGGTACAGATGAAGAAACTTCATGGATCCTAGCTACAGAGCTCGGTAATGCCTCGGAAATCGTTTTAGGGTTTCACCAAGCTTATCCGAACAAACCCGGTCCTCTCAATTCCTTATAAGTCTATCACGCGGTACCCAACCTTTTTCCGACTATGCCTTATGTTTTCACGCTATGATTTGTTTGTTTAAAAGAAAAACCGATATATTTCACTATCTAAGTTTCTCCCTCTACAACTTCTCCCTCCTCTCCGACCTCCGAACCCTCCTCCACACCGACAGCCACCGATACCACACCACCGACCTTCTCCGAAACCCCAATTTCATGCCACCGCAACTCGAGATTCCAAATACTGCTCAAGTTGACCACCGAGAGACTCGATAACACTGGTCTGTTTCTCCAGCCCGACGCCCAAGAGTCGCAATTGCTCAGTTATGAGCCCTTGTTGTCGCAACATCTCATATCGGTACCGACTCGTCTCCGAGAAGTAGGTCCGCATGAGGCGGTTTTGCTCTTCTAGAGCATCGGCCTGTCGCTCCTGGAATGAGCCATCGCCCCCCGGGAAAACACACCAAGCTTCTGATCAGCACACTCTTGACAAGTGCGCCCGACCATTGGTCCGGGGATGACAGGTTCGACCCCATTTCGTGCACCGATTGCACTTGGGGTCATTTTCGGGCCCCGCCTTGGGGGCCTGCTTTTGTTTCTATAGAAAAAATTATTTAGGAAGTTTTATTTTAGGAAACCGAACCCACCTTGGGGCTCGACAGCCCGGTGCATCCTCCTCGTCCTCCTCTCCCTCTTCGTCATCAGACTCCAAAGGCGTTGCAGCCTTGTGCTAACAAATATTGTCAGTAAGGTTCGCAAAAGACACCAGAGCCGACTCACCTTTCCCTCCCGCTTCTTTTTCGCCCATCCTCCCCGCGGCCGATCGGCCTCCTGCTGCTTGTTCTTTGCAAGCACTGCTTCCCAGTGCTTGCGCGTGGCCTCTTCTGCCGCCTGTTTCTTTTCCTCGGCCTCGATGGCCGCCAACTCCTCCTTCTCTTTCCGCTCCTCCTCTTCACACGCCTTTTTCTTCTGCTCGAGTATACGCCGACGCTCCTTCGCGTTCGCCGTACCACTCGGCACGACATGGGTGCAACTGTTAACCTAACCGGGAAGGGCTTTGACCCTGAGCCTATGGTCATGGTGGCTAAAGGAAGGGAAGTGGAATTTCAAGCGCCAGGAACTCTCAAACTTTTATATGCAAACTTTTGCCGAGTCACATGATGTTTGACACACCCAGCCGTACCCGACAAGTTTTTACGTACGGGATCTAGATTTTCGGCCTCCTTGGG